TTCCTGGTGCTCCCCCCTCCCCTCCCGGGCTGGGCCGCAGCAGTGGGGCATGTCGCCCTACGTATTGGAAAGCGCGCACTGTGTCCTTCGACCTTTCTCTAAAGCCGAAGGAAGCCTGTGTGGGGCTCACTGGCTGTGTCGTGCCCGGACGGCTGGCCTTCTCCGTCGTCTTAGGTGAAGCCATGCGTAGGAAGTCGAAGGCTTTCTACTTCCACTGATCTCTCGTTGTCAGACACGCTTCCCGACGTAACTTCCAAAAACACGGCCCGAGAGAGGCTGGGAACTGAGGATGGATGCCAGGGGGTGAGGGGCAGTCCTAGGTCAGCAGGAGGGAGAGCAGCTGACTCCCGGCTATTGCCGTCTGGCACGTCTCAGGGCTCACTGCTGCCATGCATGTTCCCTCTCGGCGCCCACGCCTCCCCTCACCGGCTCGCTCCTGCTCCTGGTCCCGCTCCCGCTCCCGCTCGCTAAGGAGAGCCTTCCGATGCCGGTGGGGCGGGATCTGCCTCGCACCAGGCGTGCACGCTGCTGTCTTTATCAACTTAAACATTTGTTTGCTTAAAACGCTACTAAGTAATTTCCAATTCATGAGAAACCATTGAAGTTTCATAAAGCTTATTCTCCCAGGATTGCCTTGAGAGATGGGTTTTCCTACCTGAGTGCATGTTTTAAGGCTACACATTGGGAACGGAGGACACAGTACTGTTACCCTTTCCTAAATGAGAAGCTGTTTATTCACAAGGACACATTTTCAGAAAAGCCAAATAAAATAGAGACAGAGAAAATGTGAATCTAGATTTTAAAAAAATCTTCACCTGAGGATATTTCCTCATTGATTTTTTGAGAGAATGGAAGGGAGGGAAGAGGGAGGAAGAGAAAGAGAGAGAAAGAGAACACCATGTGAGAGAGAGACGTCGATTGGCTGCCTCCCACACGCACCCTGACCTGGGCCAGGGATCAAGCCTGCAACCGAGGTACGTGCCCTTGACCTGGAATCAAATCTATGCTTTGGTCCGCGGGCTGACACTCTAACCCAGGGGTCCTCAAACTACGGCCCACGGGCCACACGTAAATACAAATATTGTATTTGTTCCCGTTTTGTTTTTTTACTTCAAAATAAGATATGTGCAGTGTGCATAGGAATTTGTTCATAGTTTTTTTTTTTTGAAACTATAGTCCGGCCCTCCAACGGTGAGGGGCAGGGAACTGGCCCCCTGTTTAAACAGTTTGAGGACCCCCCTGCTCTAACCACTGAGCAACCAGGCCAAGGCTCTAGGTTTTCTTAGCCGAGCAAATTTTGTGTTAATCATTCCTTACTTTTACTTGCCAGATGTCAGACGCCATAAAGCACGAATTAATGTCTCCTTGATTTTGGCTGCTTTCATGAGAGCTTTTTGTCAGTGATTCACATGCAACTCACCCCATTGCATTCCGAAGCTTAGAGAGTCTGGGCCTTATTTTTTGTCTGAAATGTTAAATTACTTGTCTTCTCGCAGCTTTAGGGCTGAAAACAGAGGCACGTGATTTTCCATTTGAGCATCTTGAATCGTTTAGCAGTTGCCTTTCCCCAACGCAGTGATTGAATGTGAATTCTCTGCCGGGTGCTGTGTGTCTCGGAGACAAATGACAAACGCTGCCCGGCAGCTGTGGCAGCCACTTTATTAAACAGATCAGACCGTCTCCTTTGATAGGTCCTTACCCAGGAGGCACGATGGCTTTTGTTCTAATTTGACCCTGTTTTGGTCTCAGCTCCCAGGACAGTGTTTGAGATGATAATTATGTTGTGTGGAAGGAGTGACCGCACGGATGTCTATCTGTGTCGTCCAAGACCATGGTCAGCAGCTATGGTCTGATTAATGGTTTTTTTTTTAAATGTTTTATTGATTTCAGAGAGGAAGGAACAGGGAGGGAGAGGGAGAAACATCAGCGATGAGAGAGAATCATGGATCGGCTGCCTCCTGCACGCCCCACACTGGGGAGGGAGCCCACAGCCGGGCATGTGCCTTGACTGGGAATCGAAGTGGGACCTCCTGGTTCATAGGTCGATGCTCAAACTACTGAGCCACCGGCCGGGCCTCTCTCACATCTTTTCAGAGAGAGAACCCCGTTGCTTTTCCACTGAGTCATGTGCCGTCCTGTACACCCTCCGCTGCTGCCCAGCGGGTGCTCGCGGGGACCAGCCCGCACCTGGCAGGCAGTCGGCATCAGGCAGCGTTTGCCAACTTGAATATGACCGAGACGAGGAGACGGGAGTTGTTGTCCTGGGAGCGGGCCTGTTAAGGCATTTCGTGCTCACGTCGTGTTCTGAGACGTTAAAGTGGGCGTCCAGCGAGCAAGGGAAGGTGTGGACTGCGTTCCTGGGAAGGGGAGAGGGTGGGAGGCAAGGAGCCATGCGGACAGGAGCCGGGCTGCATTCGCCCCTCGGAGAAGGAAGCAGCATTTCCGTTCGGCGCCCACTGACTCCGCACGTGGCCCGCAGTGCCGTCACCGAGTGTCAGGGCAGCGCGCCACGGTCAGTGGGACACGGAGCGGCCGTCCTCCTCCGCGTGGCTGGGTCCGTGACATCCCAGTGAGGACCCACGGCCGGTTGACGCCGTGCAGTCAGCAGTTACGGGTTCTGCCTGTTTTGTTTCTTCAGAAACAGTCAGGTCTCTGGCTTGTTCCGCCCTCTGCCTACAAGCGGTGACTTTCCTCACTCACACCTTCCTCGAGGGATAACTTGGGCTCTGTAGCTTGGCCGTGAACGTGAACGAGCATTGTCTGCCTGTCGCCTTTGCTTCCAGGTCCAGCAGTTCAAGCAGGACCCGCGTCCGACAACCTGCCTCCACTCCGTGTTCAACGTGCGCACAGGAGACGAGGTCCTCTCCTACGAGGAGTACGGGCACCTGCAGGTGAGGAGGCACCCGGCCTGCCCTCCCCGCAGAGGAGGCTGGAGGCGCCAGCAGGACGCGGATGGCTGGGAGCCGCGGGCGGGGTTAGTTATGGGGCTGAATATTGAATCCACAAGCAAAAAGGGCAGCTGGAAGGTTGTGATGTTAGGACCACCTAAAGGAGGAACACTCAGGTTTTTACAAGCCATTTTTGTATATTGATTTCAGAGAAGAGGGGAGAGGGAGAGACAGAAACATCCATGATGAGAGATAACCGTGGATCGGCTGCCTCCTGCCCTCCCACCCCCTACACTGGGGATGCAGCCCGCAACCCGGGCCTGTGCCCCGACCAGGAATGGAACCGTGACCTCCTGGTTCATAGGTCGACGCTCAAGCACTGAGCCACACCAGCCGGGCAGATCTTACAGTTTTTTTCTGTGATGAAAGCTTGTACTTGTCATCAAACTTGAGTTTCGACACTTAGGGACCAGGGAATAAAAGACCATGGGCAGGGCCGTCACGGCAGATCAGAAGTTCCTGTTCCACAGCAGTTCATTGTTAATATGTCGGTTTCCCATCCAGCTACACGAATCACTGAAACCCACTCCAGAGGCTCTGGGGTCTGAGTTCGTCTTTGTAATGTCTTAACCTCGGTGCCGGGCTAAGAACACGCCGCAGGATCTGAGGTTCTGCTTTGGCATTGCCTGCTGCTCTCAGCTGGACCTCCTGCTGCCTGTCCCTGAGACCCAGATACCGTACACCTGCTTGTCCTTAATGCGTCTCCTTCCTGCTCCTCTTGCAGTTTCTCTAGCTGGAGGGCAGAATACTCACTACCCATTATTTGGTGCTAAAATAAGACCTTCTTATAGTTCCCCCCTTTCTAACGACCAGAACTGTCTTACTTAGTGTGACTCCTCCAAGCAGCGCGGCATCTCCATTTCTGTGCAGCACAGACTCCGGTACTGACTTGTGACCAATGTGTACGTGGGACCCAGGATCCTACGCGTATGTCGCTGCTCAGCCTTCTCTTAGGGCTCTCACATAATTAGGCTCCAGGCACCTCTTGCTTTGGCAAATGTTTCCTACTTGAAGTAGGGTTTTCAGATGTTCACCCTCATTTATTGTTGTATCCCAGAACTGAAGCACAGTGCAGGGCACATAGTAGGTGTTCAAGAAATGCTGGTCACCAGCTACTTGGCAGTCCCTTTGCAATTGTCACTTACTGATCGTTTCTCACAGAAGCACCCTGAAAGTCGGAGCAGAGGGCTCGTGGAGGTGGAGCCCTAAATGGCTGTCTGTGGGAATAGAACCTCTCTGAAGCCGTTTCTGACGTGCCAGTGTCAGCGCTGGAATAAATATTTGGGGGCTGGCAGTGCATGCAGCCCTTGGGACAGGCCGCTCAGAAGCCACGTCCATCTAAATTCCTTAAAACCAGCATCCTGTATCTTCCTGTGTGGCCGCCTGCATCTGGACGAGGCTCTTGTCTGTCTTTAATAGACTAATAAGCTAAAAGAAGAAAACTCATTTGCTTATAAACCATTTGTTCACACATAGATTTGAAAGGCTCTGCTGTCCCGCTGAGTAAAACGGACATGGCCTGCCGATGCCCCGAGTCCCGCGCTCTCTGAAAGGCGCTTTAGCTGCGTAGTGTTTACAGCGGCCGGCATAGCCCCAGCCCACGGGTGTGTGTGTGAGATGGTCAACATGACTAAGTGCCTTTGGGGCAAAACGGTGCCCCCCAGGCGTGCGTTAGCCCAAGTCTGAAAGTGGGTCTTTGAAAACAACTGTAGAATCACCTCTCCGCGTCCTCCGGTGGCTGCTCCCTCTCCAGGCGAACCGCCCGAGGACTTGGGGTGGGTTCCCCCCGGAAGCTGGGGTTTCATCAGGAGCTAGAGCCGCAGCGCCGTCATGTCACGGTGGGGAGGAAACAGTGTTCGGCGCAGCGAGAGCGGAGGGCTGGTCATCTCATTTCTACGTGAATCTGATGACAGCGTTCCTGTTGCTCCCTGTAACCCTTCCCGGTGCTGCTTGTTTTCAGATCAACGCGGTGTCCCTGTACCTCCTCTACCTGGTGGAGATGATTTCCTCGGGGCTGCAGATCATCTACAACACCGACGAGGTACGCGCTCCTCCTGCTCCCTCCTGGTATGATTTTATTGATTTCAGAGAGGAAGGGAGAGGGAGGGAGAGGGAGGGAGGGAGAGAAACATCAATGATGAGAGAGAATCATGGACCGGCTGCCTCCTGCACGGCCCACACTGGGGATGGAGCCTGCCACCCGGGCCTGTGCCCTGACCGGGAATCGCACCCTGACCTCCTGGTTCATAGGTCGATGCTCAACCCCTGAGCCACGCCGGCCGGGCTCCTCAATTCTTTAGCACTGAATTTCATCTCCAAGGATCTCTCTTATCTTACTTTTTAAAATTCATTTTTTGTTTAATAAAAAATGGATTATTCTTCATTTCATATAATCAGAGATTGGATTTGGGATATTGGATCAAGGTCTTTACATTTTCAGTGCTCAGCACTTTGAAAATGAGCAAACATGTAGCAAGTTATAAAATCGTACTCCTGTGAAGGCTCTAAGATGATCTGAAATAGAAGCTTTCAGGGTATTTTAGTAACAAAGGAAGTACAATAGCATTTGCAGATTTTCTGTTATTTGTTTTTTTACATCATTCTTTTTTGTGACCCTCTTTTTCCAAGTGGAGAGACGCTTTTATCACATTGTATCATCTTCATTTGCGGCCTCTCAGTAGGGATCTGGGTGTTTTTCAAAAGACAGATATGCTCTTATTCTTCTTGGAAATTTGAACTGAATTTCCGCCCAGACCACCCAGGGTTGAGGGGCGTTTCTTTCCTGGGCGGTCATGCTGGACACACACACCTGCGACACTTTTAGCTGAGCCCAGCCAGATACAGGCTCCTCTTCTTTCTTTTTTTTTTTTTAATATTTTTTTATTGATTTCAGAGAGGGAGGGAGGGAGGAAGGGAGGGAGAGAGAGAGAGAGAAAGAAAGAGAGAGAGAGAGAAACATCAATGATGAGAGAGAATCATTGATCGGCTGCTCCTGCATGCCGCCCTCTGGGGATCGAGCCCACAACCTGGGAATGTGTCCTTGACCGGAATTGAACCTGGGGCCCTTCAGTCCTCAGCCGACGCTCTGTCCACTGAGCAAAACCGGCTAAGGCGAGGCTCTTATCCTTGAGAAGGTACACACAGTGGGAGCACAGGCTCTTACTGTTGAGAAGGTACACGCAGTGGGAGCACAGGATCTTACTGTTGAGAAGGTACACACAGTGGGAGCACAGGATCTTATTGAGAAGGTACACGCAGTGGGAGCACAGGCTCCTACTATTGAGATGGTACACACAGTGGGAGCACAGGATCTTACTGTTGAGTCGGTACACGCAGTGGGAGCACAGGCTCCTACTATTGAAATGGTACACACAGTGGGAGCACAGGCTCCTACTATTGAGATGGTACACACAGTGGGAGCACAGGATCTTACTGTTGAGTCGGTACACACAGTGGGAGCACAGGCTCCTACTATTGAGATGGTACACACAGTGGAAGCACAGGCTCCTACTATTGAGATGGTACACACAGTGGGAGCACAGGATCTTACTGTTGAGTCGGTACACGCAGGGGGAGATCCCTAAAGAGGAGGCGTGCTGTGTGGACTGGTCCTTCTCCCTCTCCCGTGACCCATGCAGGGAAAGCATGGCCAGACACTAACTGCCAGGACCATCAGTGCGCACACGAGACCGCTGGGACGTGGGTGCCTGCAGTCCTGCCCTCTCGTGGTGTTTAGTCTCCTAGGTCCTTCCAGATGCAGCTCTACAGAAAGCCAAGTCTATTTAGAAGTGAAGAGAAATAGCAAAGGAGAAAGGATGATATGAAGAAATTACTAATAACCACTAAGGTTTCTCTGTTCGATTCATCAAAGAATTGCATGTTTTCGTTTCATCTAAATCATCCTCATTTTTAATGACATTGGGAAATATTGGAATTCAGGTACTCTGGGTCACGGAGGGGGTGGGGACTCCTATTTCAGACCTGTCGTAAGCAGCCGCCTAAATGTAAACAAATATGAGAAGCGTGACTGGCTGAGGCGATGAGGGCCTGGAGCCGCCCACCCGGCTTCCCGTGCTTCCCCCCCTCCCTCCCCATCCCTGAGGCGCTCCAAAGCCAGGAGAAGGGGCGGCTCCGGACGGGACCAGTGCTGGCCCGTGCACAGTGAGCAGCAGCCCACGCGATGGCTGCCCGCGATTCCCGTGAGTGTCACTCACGGCGGGTGACCGGCCTGGTCAGCGGTGGCTTTGTTTCGTTCAAGTTTCAGTATTTAGTTTTTGCTTTCCCAATATCTGCTGTGGCTCATTTTAAATCTTGTCAACTGACGGATTTTATAAACATGATATTGCTTTAAGCTTTGTACTCTGTTTATATGGCTTATTCATACTTAAGCAATTTTGGCATTTTTTCTTTAATTTTTTTTCTTGTTTTCTTATGCTTTTTCTCGGCCTTGTAGGTTTTATCTGGTGATATAAAATTTTTATGTAGCCAATATCAATAAGCCTTCAACGTGTGCACTTAAAATCCCGGGTAACCCGCAGAGTCTGGGGGCTGGATCCAGGTCACACGGCGGTAAATGGGCTGCCTAGAGCCTTTCAGGGATGAGGCTCCTTAAGACACGGTCTTTGCTCTGACACACGAAGGCTCTGAGAACGGCTGTCGCTGTGCGTGCCGGTGGAGGTGGGGTACGCATCACCACTCTAGGGGGGCCTGTGATGAAGGGGGGCGAATGTGTGCAGCTGGGCACTTCGAACCAGACGCGATGGCTAAACAAGACCCTGCAATCGGGACCAGGGACCCCTAGAAAATGCCTGCATGAAAATGAGTGAACTTGAGCTCAATAAGAGCGGACCATGGTCTCTGTTGTCACAGTTCTATCTGAGGGTGTAAACTTCACCAGGCGTCTGAGAGTTTTACGTGGAAGCCGTGTGACCTGGCTTTTGTTTGCCCCCCCGCCCCCC